TTGGAGTTTTTTGAAACAAAAATTTGACTAAGTCACCTTCCTGTTTATGACAATTCAATGTTTCCTTCCATTGCTCTTAATTTAAACAAATTACCCAACATGATCCACAAAGAAATCACCTTGTCCCATGCTTCCATATTTCCAGCTCATTTCGCCCCATACTTGACTTCCCCCTCTCCGCTTTAACCCCACTGGCTTTTTTTTTCAGCCTCTTGTTCTTACCATGCTCCCTTCACCCACGGTTTCTACACATATGAGGCTCTTTCTGCCTGGAATTCTCTTATCTTCTTTCTTCATGCAGTAAAACCTATGCCTCTTTCTGATCCTACCTCCAATGTCACTTCCTCGGAGAGTCCTTTGCTCACTAACCTAACTAAGACAGATCCATGTGCTCCTCTCTTTTCTTGAATTTACAGTTGCAATTTTATATCAAATATATGCTTATTTAATTGATGTCTATTTTCCATAGTAAAATATAAGCTCTGCTAAAGCAAGCCTTTGTCTAAATTTACTCAGCGCTGAATCCTCAAGACAGTATCTGGCATGTGGCACAGGTGCTCTGTAAATATTTCTTGATAGGGAACACAATAGAGTTCCTTGAGATTTCTTAAGATAAAGACGTTACAGTCTTGAACTATAGTATCTCCTTCAAGACACACAATACAATGGTATTCGTTCAAAACAAAACTAGAGAGAGTTCCCACAGAGTGAAATCATTTTGCAGTCTTCCCATAGAGTGAAATCATTTTGCAGTCTTGTCTTCCTTTCTTTAATTTTACTTGTGATCGAACACAGGAGCTTTGATGATGTATGTGAATAGAATTTCCTTAATAGGAATTTCCTCTTAGATTATACATTGAGATGTAATTTATTTACTTTAATACTATTTTTTTGCTGCTCATTAGTATTAATATGGATGCTGTACTCTGATACCAGATAATTTGCTATATCTATGCTTATTTTTGGTATATCTCTGTTTTAGTTATTCTTCTATTACTATAGATATTAGCAAATATTGCATTTCCTATATAAGGAAAAAACTCTAAAAGTACTTCTAATTTCGTAGTAATAAGCATGGAAAACTGATCTTGATGGCAAATTCATTTAAATCAGTAAGTATTATCTATTTGTAAGTGAAATCATTTTAAAGTGTTGAGATGAGTAATAGGAATATAAAATGATTTGAATCTTTAGAAGAGTGCTAAGGTAAAATACTCATCACTGGGCATCTGGGTGGCTCAGCTGGTTGAGCATCCAACTCTTGGTTTCAGCTCAGGTCATAATCTCACAATTTGTGGGATCGAGCCCTATATCAGGCTCCATGCTGGTAGTGCAGAGCCGGCTTGAGATTCTCTCCTTCTCTCTCTCTGTCCTCCGCCTCCCCCTCCACCTTTCCCTCTCTCTCAATTAAAATAAACTTAAAAAAAATAATTTTAAAACACTAATGACCAGGGCACCAGAGTGGCTCAGTCACTTGAGCATCCAACTTCAGCTTAGGTCATGATCTCACGGTTGGTGGGTTCGAGCCCCATGTTGGACTCTGTGCTGACAGCTCGGATCCTGGAGCCTGCTTCAGATTCTGTGTCTCCCTCTCTCTCTGCCCCTCCCCTGCTTGCTCTCTGTCTCTCTCTTTCTCTCAAAAATAAACGTTAAGAATATTTTAAAAAATACTAATGACCAATGTGAGAGACCATCTCTACAAGAAAGGAAAAGAGATTTTACAAGTGACCTGCATGATCCCCACAGGCGTCCCCACATCTCAGGCAGTACTCATCCAGCCAAATTGTCTCAGGCTGTGGCCCACCGAAACTGCCAAAGGGGATTGGTGAAAGATATAAAAGTATCCACGAGCACACTGTACTGCTAAATAATAATGAGGGTCTCAACGAAATATTAAAATTTTAGCGTGAAAGAAGCTGAAAGGATTATCAAGTTTACACCCATTATTTTATACATGGGGGAAACCAACGTTAGGGCAAAAACAAGGCATGGGTCTAAGGACACACACTCAGTTGATGGAAGAGCCAGGACCGAAAACCTGATCTCTTGGCACACAGCCATTCCCACTGCATTACGTGGCCTGATCACATCGGTTCTCCAAAATTCTCTAGGAAAAATAATCTGAGCAATAAACTCCAGGTCCAGACCACTTCAGTAACTGGAGAACCCACAGACACGTTTAGAATAGCAACAGCATGGGCCCGATCTTACTAGCCTGCAAAAACTAACATGAAGAAGTAACCAGTACCCTCTGTACTCTTAGCATTCTCTAAATGTCTCAGCTACACATAAGAACATTAACAGAACGTCTTTCCTCAAAAATAATGTCTCTGGGTCATTAAACCTATTTCCTGAGTTAAAAACACCAATGCAGGCTGGGGCACCTAGGTGGCTCAGTGGTTTGAGCATCTGACTCTTGATTTCAGCTCAGGTCTGTGAGTTTAAGCCCCACATCAGGCTCTGTGCCAACAGTGCAGAGCCTGCTTGGGATTCTCTTCCCCCCTCTCTCTGCTCCTACCCCATTTGCATGCTCCCTCTCTCTCCCAAAATAAATAAACTATATAAAAAAACCCACCAATACATGCTTTTAGGTAACATTTTCCATTTATATATTTCTGGCAACATTCTATCAAAAGTGGACACTCAGAGAAATTTGTAGTATAATGCTGCATCCATGGTGTTTTCGTAAACCAGCTCTCCAAAAACATACCATACAATTAAAAATGTCCTTATTTCTAGGGCTTTCTGGTTCCTCTGATGTAAATATTTCCGCCATCGCTGATTTCAGGCCACTGAGTCTCTAACACATCACACACAGAATTCCTGAATATTTAACAATTGACTCTAATGCACCAAAGGCAGCACCAGCACTTCACTGGTAGTACAGGGACACCCAGAGATAATCAAAGTCAACCTACACTTTTATCAGAGGAGCCTGAGGCTCAAAGAGAGTAAATGATTTGCCCCCAAATCACACAGTGGCTGGGTGGGCTTTAATACACAGGATTCCACCTCAACTACCTTCATACACTAAGTGAAACTTTCTGTATGAGACATAGTCTGTGGTCCTCATATTATTGAAGAAAGAAGAGCCTCTCAGGGGCACCTGGGTGGCTCAGTCCATTAAGCATCTGACTTCGGCTAAGGTCATGATCTCATGGTTCATGGGTTTGAGACCCCCATTGGGCTCTGTGCTGACAGCTCAGAGCCTGGAGCCTGCTTCAGATTCTGTGTCTCCCTCTCTCTCTGCCCCTCCCATGCTCATGCTCTGTCTTTTTCTGCCTCTCAATAATAAATAAAAACATTAAAAAAAGGAGAAGTGCCTCTGAAAAATCAGCAGCATCAACAACAGCAGACAGACAATACATATTCTTGGAAATGCATATTCTTGGTCTCCATCCCAGGCCTAGTGAGTCTTCATCTTTGGGGTCCAGAAATCTGTGTTTCACTGAACTCTCTGAGTAGTAGAGAGCAATGAGAAAAAAATCTTCCTTAAACCCATCAATATTTTTTGTAAACGAGATCCCAATATAGGTCAATGATAATAGCTATCCTTTCTCACATCAGCATCCGTTAAGAGATACTTCTTCTGAAGCTTTGAACATAAAATGCACAATCTTTCACATTTTCAGAGTCTACTTTTCAAAATAGTTTAGATTTTTTCTAACAGCAACAGGAAAAAGTTGAGTTATTTACCTTCCAATTCTCAACCCCCACCTTTTAAAGACCAAAGCCTAACCCATATTTATATGTTGTAGCCCTGGCACATTCCTTTTGTTTAAATGACTCCTTTTAAGTAAATATTTATTTTTCAAAGCTTTGCTCCACCTCTTTTTCAAAGATTGATTTGACTACCACAAATCAAGGTAGTCAATAGCAAAGGGGATCTCCCACTGTAATCAACATATTGCTTTGTCAATTGATTATAGAGTTACAATTTGTGTTTTGATTTATCAGTCACTTCCTGGCATTTTGGTATTTGTTCCCAATCTTAAGATCCAGAACAAAGACAAATAAATACGGTCTGCTTTGTTTTCTTCTTCCAATATTTTAGAGGCTGGAAAATTCGCAAAATAAATATCCTCTCAACCTTCTTGTAAAAGCATTGCAAAAGATAAAACGAAAAATTGAGTAACAGTTTCCCAAATTTAAAAATACCCAGCTAAGGCACACTTAAATGACTAATAGCTGTACTGATATTACTTTAAAAGTAATCAGACAGCAATGTAAAAATACAGGGCCATGAGTCTTAATTCATTATCCATTATTAATCTTATTTGGAAGGTACATGTAAATATGTTTATTTTATTTGCACAAAAATGAGACATTTCATAACCTATGTGTTCATAGATAATAGATTAACAAAAACTTTTTGGAAGGGCATTGTAATCACTACCACATTTCCTAGCAAATCCAAAAACTTGATGAGTATGGTTCTTGGCCTTGGTGGGAAATACCTTCACTGGATGTGGAAGTGAATGTTTTCAAGGGAACCAGAGTATTAGTTTTATAATTCCCCAATTACTTGGCCCTGGATGAACTTGTATTTACCAAGAACTGGCCAGAAAATCTTTGCAACACTGGACATAACCATCCTGAAATCTACTATTCCTAAAGGTTCGAGATTGCCTTTGCTAATACTTCCCCCCAAAAAAGCAGCTACCTTTATGAGATTCATTACTGATTCCACCAGCCACATTGGGTTTGCTTGTCCCTCATCTTTTTGGTCAATACATGCATACCGTCCAACACTCCCAGGTACATCTGCTCAGGAACCTCCACCATCCCCCCGCCCCCCCAACGAAAAGTACACAAATTCCACTCGCTAACATAAGCTGGACTTTGATCTCCAATTTAAATCTCTTTGTACAGCAGGGTCTTCCTCACTGAGGCACCAGAAAAGGGGCATGTACCGAGTACAATATCGAGTCCTATGTGGACCGAGCCCACATGAGCCAGCGCGGAGGTGAGGAACGGCGCGGAGAGCAGAGGGCACTTACGGTTGGCATAGCTTGATTAGGTCCTGGTCAGTGGTGCCTGGCGGAAGGCCTCGAATGTACAGGTTGGTTTTACTCAACTGTTCCCCGCTGCTGTTGCTGCTGCTGTTGTTGCTGCTGCTGTTTGTGCTGGGGCTGGGAGGTGCCATGGGGTGGGGAGCTGGTGCATAGGACTGCTGGAAACAGAAAAGGCTGTTACTGGAAAAACAAAGCCAGCACCAATTCATAGGCCAGCAGCGCAACTCGAAAGCTATGCAGGCTTCTCGGCCTCTGATCCACACATGCACACACATATTTATATCACTGCCCTGTACACTTCTGAGAATATCATTCCCCCCCACACTGGCCCTGCATTTGGATCTGTATAAGTTAGCCGTCAAAGGGACAGAAAGAAGTTCCCACATGCTCTTGACAGTGGCATATGGGTTCTGAGTTAGTCCCCTGTGATTTTCCTTAGACCTGTAAAGTAGCACATTACCTCCCTCTCCATGAGAAGAACGCAGTTTCCTTTTGGCACCAAAACTCTGCCTCTGGCTCACCTTTAACAAGTCACACACCTCTATATTGTCCCCACACCTTCGTCCCTCCTCGCCAAACACCAAAACTAAAACCAACCAACCAAACAGAAAACTGCCTCATATCGTTGTCGTCACCGTCACTCTCCAACATAATTCCGGATACATAGGAATCACTCTATGCATAGCGAATCTAGGACCTATCAAACGGATGAATGAATGTATCTCTTCTCTTTTTACCACTCCCAAATATACTTCTTCATGGTCAATGCCCTGAGGTTTGGATTATTGAGCCACCATTTTCTCAATACAATCGAGATCCCCTTTAAGTTACTCTAGTCGAGGGTCTCTATCTAGGTACTACTGACAGCTTGGGATAATTCTTTGTTGTGGGGCCTTTTGTTCATTACACTGCACATCCTACCTGGTTCATTGTAGGATGGAAACAGTATCCTTGTCCTTTACCCACTGGATTCTAGGAGTGGCCATTCCGTAGTTGTGACAACCAACATTACTCCACATGCTGCCAAGTGTCTCCCAGTAGAGAACCACTGCTCTAACCTGTCAGATTATTTTATAACCAAACAAAATGATAAAATGACCCCCAGCAACTTCAAGTATACAATGTGGTAACTATGCATGCCAGAATTAGTAGATATGTTATTCATTATACTTCATTTCTTCGTCAAATGGGAGTATCTTCAAGAGTCCTAAGATTAATGGACTATCTGAATTTGTATTCCTGCTGTGTCTCTTTCTGGCTGTGTGACCTTCACATGGTGCCTCAATCTCTCTGACAGTCAACATTCTCATTAATATGAGGAGGATAAAATAGTACTCTCAACAGTATGCCACAGGGTCTCTACAAAAATTCAATAAGTGAAGGCACACAAAATGGTTCCTGGATATTAGAAAGTGCACAATAAATGTTAGCAATCACAAAAATGCAAGGGTAACAATCATGATAATATTTGTAGTTCATATCTGTCTTCATATTAGGCTATATAACTATCCCAGATATTCTTAATCATAACCTAGAATGTTAGCTAAAGGTAACACTTATTAGGATTCTGGTGGGAAAACTTTTAACCTGAAGACACATTAGCTGTTCCATCAAGGGTGAAGGTGTGTACTTATCAAACAACAAGTAGGTACTTCATACTTAGTCTACATCATATATGGTATAAATCGAATGAACACAGCACTTAGCCCACAGTGACAAGAGGCCAAGTTTTAGCAGCATCTAGCCTTGTTTCTTGCTATAATAGTCTGTTTTACACCTTCCAGAGTGATCAGATCTGCCCTAGTCCATATTTCCAACTGGCTACAAGACAATGCCTTTTAGATATAGCATGTCAAATGAAACTCATTATCTCTGCTCTCTCACCTCCCAAGTCCCTACCCCAGCCACCCAGTGCAAAGACTCTCTTTCTCTCTGGTGTTGCTGACATTCATCTAGCCCCCATGCTAGAAGCTTGGTGTCGGCTTCAGCTCCTTAATTCTAAATCTTGAAATACAGTCAGCTACCAAAATTTCTGAGAGGTATCTGGAAACCTTCTTTTCTCTGAATTCTCACTGCTTCCTAGGCTGGGTTCTGGTCCACCTTGCGGATCCACCAGATCTAGCATATGCCTCATGTTTTCCTCTTAGGGAGGAAAGTGGGGAAAGGATAAGACACAATGGTCAAATGCAAACTCACACTGGTCTAGAGTGTCCTGGGCAGTTTCTTTAAGAAATGGAGAAGTGGGACAGAGGTGGGACAGAACCCAGAGCCTCCTTCTTTGAAACAAACATTTTCCTCAACCATTTCTTAGGTATTACTTGATTTGCTACCAACGTTTTTAATGTGAGATTTTACAACAAATTACACAGGACAATACGTTCTGTTCCCAATGTCTGAATAAAATGACATACATCCATTGCCTTTTGGAATTTAGTATCTGCGTAAACCTGCATGTAGTTTCTTGGCTGGCATGAGAAACTAGTCTGCCTTGACCTAAGAAATCTGTTTCACTCCTTGGACACCCCATAACATTTAAACTCTATCTCTTTACAAGCTCTGCACTTAGTAGGTGCTTAACACACCTTGCTAAAATAGTGTCCTGGTCTCTGTATCTCCCAATGGGACAGATGGGATTTATCTTTTATTTCCCCTAAAGTAAAGCTTTATTTTCTTGAAATTCCCAGGGCTTTTTAAAAGCTGTTTGTTACCACTTTCACCTTCTCTCTCTCCAAATTCTTTAAATTCCATTCTGTACTCAGGCTTCTTTTAAAATGAGGCTTTGTTAAAAGCAGTTTTCCCCATTGCATAGCTTTTAAAACTATCAGGGAGCCAAAAAATCATGTCTTCAGCTTTATGTAGCATAGATCTGATGGACCCGCTCAGATTGAGTCCTTGATTGATCAGATAAGAAAGTATCATCTATAGGATGGTCAATATGTGTTTACTTAATTCTCTCCCCCTCTGCCCCCACCCTCCAGGGGTCTTCGTAAGCATTTCCATAGCCAGAATGCCATTTAGTAAATTGCATGGTGCTTAAAACAATAAATGTGTCCTCCAAAATGCCCGATGTATTTACTAGGAAAAAAAATAAACAAAACACTCAAAAGCAAATCAAAGCTGGGATGACTATAGGCTACTTGTATGCATGGAAATGAGGTCTGTATTTTATAAACAGAGATAGAAGCACCAGCCTGTTGTGGAGAGATGATATATTTCAAAAGCCCATTGAAAAAAATACGCAATCAAAAGTGGTTATCTGTGTATATTCTTGTTTGTGAGTTCTAGAAGTTTTGTTGAAAGAAGTAGACCTTCTCAGTGTTATTGAACCAATCAATCCACAGATTTTAAGACAGAACGCCTATATTCTCACTACTCCTTAATATTTCATTTATCTGTTGATGATATGCTGAATGATTCAGGTAGTGGTCTGCGTTGTAAATCATCCTTTGGTTTTAAGAATTATAAATTCCCTCCTCTCCACCCACTTTCCAAACACACATCCTTTAATCAACAAAACATTGGCAGAAGTTTCCCAGAATGTCTGACAAATGCACAAGCATAAATGAATTAATTTGTGAAAAGCAAAAGCAACGTTGTGTGCTCTGGTGCCAAAGACAAATGACCAAACTGCAGCATCTTTGGGGGAAAAAAAAAAGAAGAAGCAATAATCTTTAGAGGTTAATGGGTCAGAGCAAACCACTTTCCTAATTAAAAGTGGCTCTGATTCCTTTCTCAATTCTTTGTCTTCAAATGGATTTGGGGTTTTATCATTGATTAGCTTTTAAATCATTTTGAGGCACCAAGGAAGAAATTTTAAAATGTTAGTAAAAAAAGAATTTATTTTCCTCCAGATAAAATTGACTTTGTTATATGGCTCAAAGTCATACTTTATAAATCCTATTTAGGAGCAGTGAGGACTTACAGTCTGGGGTTAGTGAACACTGTAACACTGTGCTGTAGCAGGGCAGGGAGCTGCTATGAATTTGCCGTGTCAGCTTGGTTAGAACCAGTAACAAAGGCAGATTTTCAGAAGAGGGCCTTCAGATGGCACTCTGATGGAAGGAGGGAGAGAGGATTTCTCTTGAACCTGCATATGCTTGGCAAATACGCAGATTTTCCTTAGGTGCTTATTCATGGTGGTGTGGCTGGGAGCTGCAACTCTCTAAACCACACGTTGGGGCTGCTGCATCAGTGGATATGTACCAGTGTTTTCTTCAGTAAATAAAATGACATGACACCCATTTTAGAAGATAATGATTCTAATAATTACAGGTAAAATTTGTTGCATGTTTCCTAGTAGGCATTATGTATAACAGCCCAATGAGGCAAATGATATTCTTCTCAACTATAAATGAGAAAACTGAATGCAAAATGGGCAGATGACCTTCTCAAGGTCACACAGCTGGAGCCCCACTTTGAACCTAGGAAGTTTGACTCCAGGACCCATGCAGTCCCCCCAACCAGCACTCCAGAACTTGACCTACTAATGACAGGGGTACCAGTCAATACAAACGGCTTTCTTACAGGTCAACTTTGATGGAAGACACGGACAGAAGCTCTCTTGCATCCAAGTACACAGGGGAGAAATCGAATGAGGATGATAAACAGTATACAGTCAAAATGGAGGTTAAAAAGGCCTTTCCTCTATCAGAATTTAAATGAAGTCCACCTTAAAATTTAATTTCAAAGGGGAAGTGACCATTAGGAGAAAGTGTGTGATGAGTTTTTCAAATAATGTCAAACAAGTGGGTTCATTTGTCAAGAGTCATGGGATGTTATTTGATAACAGGAAAACGAACTGGCTTGTAGATCATCCTACAACCACTGATTCATTTAGTGTGCTTTGTTAATATGCCTCATTTTTCAAGTTTGAAGAGTGAATCAACCGGGTCCTCCTACAGTCTTTTAAAAAGTGTGATTTGTGTATGTCGGTTTGGAGGGTGGTACGTTGTGCGTTTAATCCCTACATATTTTGGAGGCAAACTGGAGTGGGATAGGAGTTGTAGTTTTCTTTTCTTTTTTTTTCAACTTTAACAGAAAGTGTTTGATACATTCAATAAATGCTATTCACATATCAAGAGGGTAAAGTAAACCATTACAAATCATCTTTTATACAGTTTCAAACATATGAGACGAACCTGTCTGAAGGCAGGGCTGT